ATCTTTCACTTCTTTTGATTTATGTGAGGGAAGGTAATGTACCATATCAGAAGTTATAATTTTCCTATACTGAAAATGTATTTCTGATAGGTACTTACCTCCTTCCACACTTCCCACCATTTCTTCCCACTGAAAACCCGGTGCTTCCATTTCTGCCAAAACTCAAAGGGATAGTCTGGTAGAATGGAATAGGGGGAGTCACATGCGTAACGAGTGTGTGTGGCACTCTCATTGATGGAGGGTTGTCGCATTATGATTTGCATGGGAGACACATTGAAATGAGTCATTTCCAATGGAGGGAAGGCAGAAGGCTTGTGGCATGTGTAATTTTTTGCATATAGAGGGCAGCACTGAACAAGAATTGCTATTTATGTGAGAGGAGGCAAGTACCTATCAAAATACATTTTCAGTGTAGAAACATTATAACTTTGGTTCATTTATAGAGAGCTGAATTGAATTACCTTGTTGTAATTTTACATTATTTTCAGTTACTATCATTCCAATCTGTGGCATTCATAGACCCTAGATAAAGGTGTAAACCAAAATACCGGGTAGAATAAATAAACATTTCTCTGAAGTTGTTTCTTCTCTTCATTGAAAATTGTTTCCATCGTTCAGTCAGCACTGAAAGTTTTAAAACATGAAGTATATTGATCTTAACATCCATATATTTTTATATCTTTTATAATTTTCCGTGTATTTGCTGAAGAAGACTGATGTTGAAACATTTGGCACATCATAAATTTCTTTGGAGATGAATGTTCTTTTTTTTTTTATATTTAATACAAGTTTAGTAAACAACAGATGTTTCAGGTCTTTTTTTTGTATCTTTTTTGCCATGTTCTTGTACTTCTTACAATAAAATCAAGTTTTTTAAATCTCCTGACTGCTTTAAGAATGTAGAATTCTTTTACTTGAACATTATTTTAAATATTTTTATTAATGATTTACACTTTTTATGACTCCTTATTTTAGGATTTTTTAAAAACGTTTTGTATATTACTGAAATATCATTATAATATCTCTACTTGTTATATGAAATATAGAAGGTTATTTAAATGAGAAATTTTAACATTTTTTGTTGAGGAAACTATTAGAATTTTTAGTTCTCTCATATTCTAATAAGCTTAAGAGAATAAAAAGAAGGCTACATATTTTTTGATGTCATAAATCAGTGGTTTTGGTGTTCTTTATTAGGAATAGACAGTTTTAAACATTAACTTGATATGAATCAATGGTGTTAGTGTTCTTTATTAGGAATATACAGTTTGTGAACATTAACTTATGGTGTGAATCAGTGGTTTTGGTGTTCTTTATTAGGAATAGACAATTTTAAACATTAACTTGATGGTGTGAATCAATGGTTGTGGTGTTCTTTATTAGGAATAGACCATTTTAAACATTAACTTCATGGTGTGAATCAATGGTTGTGGTGTTCTTTATTAGGAATAGACAATTTTAAACATTAACTTCATGGTGTGAATCAATGGTTTTGGTGTTCTTTATTAGGAATAGACCATTTTAAACATTAACTTCATGGTGTGAATCGGTGGTTTTGGTGTTCTTTATTAGGAATAGACAATTTTTAACATTAATTTGATGGTACAAAATCAATGGTTTTAGTGTTCTTTATTAGGAATAGACAGTTTTTAAACATTAACTTGATGGTGTGAATCAATGGTTTTAGTGTTCTTTATTAGGAATAGACAATTTAAACATTAACTTGATGGTGTGAAGCAGTAGTTTTGATGTTCTTTATTAGGAATATACAGTTTGTGAACATTAACTTCATGGTGTGAATCAATGGTTTTGGTATTCTTTATTAGGAATAGACCGTTTTAAACATTAACTTCATGGTGTGAATCAATGGTTGTGGTGTTCTTTATTAGGAATAGAAAATTTTAAACATTAACTTGTGGTTTTGGTGTTCTTTATTAGGAATAGACAATTTTAAACATTAACTTGATATGAATCAATGGTGTTAGTGTTCTTTATTAGGAATATACAGTTTGTGAAAATTAACTTCATGGTGTGAATCAATAGTTTTGGTGTTCTTTATTAGGAATAGACAGTTTTTAAACATTAACTTGATGGTGTGAATCAATGGTTTTGGTGTTCTTTATTAGGAATAGACAATTTAAACATTAACTTGATGGTGTGAATCAGTGGTTTTGGTGTTCTTTATTAGGAATAGACAATTTTAAACATTAACTTCATGGTGTGAATCAATGTTTGTGGTGTTCTTTATTAGGAATAGACAGTTTTAAACATTAACTTCATGGTGTGAATCAATGGTTTTGATGTTCTTTATTAGGAATAGACCATTTTAAACATTAACTTCATGGTGTGAATCAGTGGTTTTGGTGTTCTTTATTAGGAATAGACAATTTAAACATTAACTTGATAGTGTGAAGCAGTGGTTTTGGTGTTCTTTATTAGGAATAGACAATTCTAAACATTAACTTCATGGTGTGAATCAATGGTTTTGGTGTTCTTTATTAGGAATAGACAGTTTTAAACATTAACTTGATGGTGTGAATCAATGGTTTTGGTGTTCTTTATTAGGAATAGACAGTTTTTAAACATTAACTTGATGGTGTGAATCAATGGTTTTGGTGTTCTTTATTAGGAATAGACAGTTTTAAACATTAACTTCATGGTGTGAATCAATGGTTTTGGTGTTCTTTATTAGGAATAGACAGTTTTT